GCAGTTTTAGATATCTTCCCACCCGCCACCTCGCACTCCTTCCCCTCACACCTGGAAGAGGCCAGCAACTTCCAGCTCCCATTGGCCAGCTGAGATGCCATGCTCACCTTCCATTGGGTGGCATTGCTTTCATTCAAGCTGCCCATGGAAGGAGGAATGGCGGGGCTGGGACAGTCCCAGAGGGTGGCGAGGACTGGAGCTGGCCCGGTTTGCGGAGTGCAGAGGTGGAACTAGGAGCCAGGCTGGGAAACCAGGTGGGGAAGAACTCAAAAGTTCTGCAGCCACTGCTCGTCATCCCAAACCTGCATTATGAAGTGATTCCACCAGTTGGTGCTAGTTTCTCAGGCCCCACAAGCAGCGCTCCAGCATTTGCAGCTGCTCTGTGAACACCACCAACAACCTTGCATTGGTTCGGGCTATGTCCCACAGCAAGCTGCCCTCCAGGAAATCATTGTGTTCCTTGAGACTCTTCTTGCAGCTCTGCAAATACTGGAAGATCATGCACGCTGTGCTTGGGACGCTCATGACAACAGAGCAGAGCACTGCAGGCTCTATGCTTCTGTCAGAGATTGTGGACCGCGACAAATCCTGCGTGGGTTTGTGGGATTTTCAAAATAGGCATGAAAATGATGGGATAGAGATGGCATTATGGGGAGGAGAAGGTTGCATGATGGGAATTTCAGCCTGCAGTCCCAGTTACCCCAACACTACTCATTTTTGCCCCATCATGCATTGCCAAAACTTCCCAAAACACAGTGTGCTGGATAGTGGCACACTGGGATACCTACCCATGGTGCACCACACAGTGCATCTAAACAAGCACTCCTCGTGAGTACTCAAAGCGCTGGTGGAAGAACTCAAGCGATATACTAACTGCAGCAGCTGTATGCCAAATTCATTTGCATCAGCAAAAGTTTGTCGTGTAGACATGTCCTAAGTAAGAGACATAAGAGAATGGCTCAGGGGATTTAATCTCTAGGTCACCAATCTGTAATTTGCTTGACAGACAGGGAGACTTGGACACAGAGGGTAAGGGTTAAGTGACACTTGCTCAGGATCAGAAAGCAAGTCAGTGGCTTAGCTGGGAATAAAATGCAGGTCTCCTGATTCCCAGCATACTAACCAAGCTGTTCATTTACAAAATATAATTAATGAGTTACCCTCTGAGTGAAGAGATAGGTATTTATTATGCTCATTTCCTGGATGGGGAAAACAGGTGCACAGAGAGGTGAAGGGACTTGGTCAAAGGTCGCACAGGAATTCTGGTAGAGCCAGGAACAGAATAGAGATTTCCTAACTCCCGGGCCTGTGTTTTAAATATAAAACCCTCCTTCCTCTTGAGCTCCTATCCTCCGCTGGCCGTGACCCAATTCATTGCCCACTGGTGACTGTTCTAGTGGTGTATGTTTAATGAGTAAGTGGTCTCAGTGCAGATGCTAAGTGGACATAGATCCACACCACAAAAAACATCAGCACAACCGTCAATATGTTGGGCACCTGAGAATACAGCATGCAGTTCTGGGCCCTTTAATAATAGAGAAAGGTCAATGAATGAGATGGAATTCAAAGGAGGACAGCAAGGAAACTTGAAGGGACTAACTTATGAGGAACAGAATTTGATCTGGTTAGCTTGGCTAAGCAATGACCAAATGAGACACGATAGTCTCTGAAGGGCGCAAGCACCCAAGAGGAAGATGGACTATTTGGGGTGGTCCTAGAGGTTTAAATGCAGTATGAGAAATGGGCTTAGGGTGACCATACATCCTGTTTTGGCTGGGACAGTCCCGTTTTTAAGCTCTGTCCTGGCCGTCTTCTGATCAGTTGAGAAGAGCAAAAAACAAATGCCCAGTTTACCAAACAAGTTGGGTGTGCTTCCCAGGGAAGGGGGGCAGAGGAACATTGTGGGGAGCAGCAATGTGAGGTACCAGGCAGTGGGGCTTAGGGGTCAGCCCCAGGCGGCATGAGGCTCAGCCCCAGGCAGCGCGGATCTCAGGGGTAGGGGGCCAGGGAGTCAGCCCCAGCCCCAGCCCCGGGAGGTGTGGAGCTCAGGAGCGGGGTCAGCCCCAGCCTCTGGCTGTACAGGGCACCAAGCTCGGGGTGTGTGTGTCAGCCTCATCCCCAGCCATGGGTAGCGGGGGCTCGGGGATCAGCACCAGCCATTGGGGGCATGGGGCATGGAGCTCGGGGGGAGGGAGTGGCTCTGGTGAGCCCTATGGGGAGTATGTGGGGCAGCTCAGGCTTAGGCAAGCCCCAGCCATCCTGTTTTTACTTTAGGAAATATGGTTGCCCTAAATGGGACGAAATTGAGCAAAGGAAAGGTTACGTTGGACATCAAGAAAAACGTCCTTATAGTGAGATCTACTAGTGGAATAGTCTTGCAGGGGAAATTGAGAAGTTCCATCCTTTGATGGGTAGAAAAACCACCCTAGGGTATCCTGCAGGGAGCAGTCCTGCACTGGAAGGAATGTGGATTCATAAATTGAATAGCTCTTTTCCACCGGTAAACTTACATAACACTTATGATAATATATAACAGCACAATCATTTTACAGTGTAAAAGGAATCTGTTCAATAAGGTTCCAACCCTGCAAATATGTGATTTTACGTACATGAGTAGTCACACCAGGTGAAATTCACCCCTGTGCAGAGAGACACCATGAGGCCTAGGCACCTATTTTGAAGGAGTAAGTGGGATTTAAGTGGCAGTTAGGTCTTATGCTGGGGTATGCATGTGTGAGAATTTCACCCATTGTGCATAATTTGTGTTAGTGTTTGCAGGACTGGGCCCTAAAATCATTCACATATTTTCCACATAATTCTGCAGGCTATCTAAATATGTCAGGTGACACTAACTGGACCCATATCTGGGTAATTTATTCCATCAGTCACCCCTGAAGCCCTGATGGCACTATAACACCAGCAGAAAATAGTAACATTTCGATTGTTTCTGTGGTAGGAACAGAAATCTGAAAATACACTGCATCTGCCCTTTTTGTCCTGAAATCCAGAGAGGGGTAAAAATAATGGCCAAGATTCTCTGCTGTGCATGGTTTCCACAAGGGGCGACGGAGGTGATGGAGAGCTGTCCGGTTGCTGAAGCATCTTGTTTCTTGACGCAGTTCTGAACCAGGCACTGCCCCGGTGGAGTTTAGAGCAGTCTGGGGGCTTCTCTAAACTGCGCCAGATGGTCACAGCTCCCAAGCAGCCACTTGCGAAATAAGCAAAGCCAGATCACAGAGTCCTCTGGACACCGTCCTCACTACTCCTTATGCTCTTTATTGGTGGGGGTGACATAGAAGCTCTATGTGAGCTGGGGACTGTTCCCCACCATGTGAATCCTCAGTCAGTCAGTGAGGATTGGTCTCTGCTTTCTAGTCCCTTTGTGTCACTGGAACAACGCAAAGAGAAGAGATGGGAACAGAGAATCCGGCCCAGCAATGCTGCCTACAGTTCTATTTCCTCAGAGTGGGTTCTTGTCAGATTTCACAACCTAGGTCAAGTCTGGCCTAGCCCTTACTGAGGCTACGTCTACACTGGGGGCGGGGGGGGGATCGATTTCAGATACGCAAATTCAGCTACGGGAATAGCGTAGCTGAATTCGACGTATCTGATCCAACTTACCCCGCTGTGAGGACGGTGGCAAATCGACCGCCGCAGCTCCCCCGTCGACGGCGCTTACTCCTACCTGGGCTGGTGGAATACACGCATCGATTCGGGGATCGATTATCGCGTCCCGACGAGACGCGATAAATCGATCCCCAACAGATTGATTTCTACCCGCCGATCTGGGCGGGTAGTGAAGACAAGCCCTTAGATGACAGCCCTCTGTAGCTTGGTGGGGTTTTTCACCTAGGCAGTTGGTATTTGGTACCTCCTCGGGGGAGAAGGTAAGATTCAGTGTGGGCTCTTGCTGTGCCATTTGATAGAGTAGCAGTAGGGTGATTTAATAGCAGCAAAGTCTTTCGGACTGAATTGCTTTCAGTCAGACTATTTTAGGCTACATTTGAAGAACTGGACAGGAGATTGGTGGGAAATATTTAGCTGAAGTTCTAATGTATTGGAATTAGTAACTTTAAAGTATAATTTAGCTTTTGAGAGTCTGTGCATTTTATCGTAATCTTTGTGGAAGACTGTATTTCAGGGGGATGTGAATTTTAGGTCATTTTGTTATGGAACAAGGAGTGTAGTGGCTAGGGCCGGCTCTAGGCACCAGCAAACCAAGCACGTGCTTGGGGTGGCACATTTTCAGGGGTGGCATTACGGCCTTTTTTTTTTTTTTTTTTTTTGCGTTTCGGGCGGCAAAAGCCTAGATCCGGCCCTGGCAGCAGCAGCGCGTCATGCGCGGGGGGCGCCCTGGGGCCGCTGCAGTTCGTGCCGCAAGAGAGCAGCGCCCGCACCTTGTGGCATCGGATCCCATTTGAAAAGAATTACACTAGATTTGGCTCTGCAGTGCAGTACATTGTAAAGTGTTTTAAGGTGTATTTATAAAATTTAATTTGACCACGACACTAGAGTTAACATACCTTGTTCCGTACCCGGACCTCAGTTTTACATCACATCTGCAGCACCAATGTGCCTCCTAACACCATGCTTGGACATTGGTTTAGTGCTGACTCAGAAGGCAGAATCAGAAGTTTGAGATTCTCCCATCTATGTACTGACCAGGACCACCTGCGTTTAGGACCCAGTCCTGCAGCATGCTGAGTCCCTCCTGTGAGGTGCTAATTGATTTAGGTAGGAGTTGTCATTACTCCGCACCAGGCAGGAGTAGACCCTTTGGGCTTGATCCAATGCCCAGAGCCTCCATTGACTTACCTGGGCTTTGGGTCTGGCCCTTAGTTTGTCAGTTCTGGTGAGATCATAGCAGAAGGTGGTACGGCTGCCTAAACTCTCATGCCCTTAACTTGCAATGAACTTGGTATTAGCCCATTTTTCTAACTATAGTAACCACAGGGCCGTTTAAGTAATAGAAGGTGATTACTTCTACAGCTGTGACTTACCGTTACTGGCAATTTTAGATATGCACCGGTGACAAGCTTTCTCCAGGCCAGCAGCCATTGGTGATCACTGTCTGGTGTAGCTCTAGAGATAGAAATAATAAGGGTATTACAATAATAAGTTGTGTTTTTAATGAACTAGACATGATGGGCCAGATTCACTGCTTTGCTTTAGCAGCTTTGCGCCTACCCCAGTCACCCAAAGCAGCTGCACACCCAGATTGCTGGAGCAGAACCAAGCAGCCAGAGCATACCAGCGAATCTAGCCCCACTATAAACTGAATGTTAAAGGCTTGATTCACCTCTCACATGACATTGGTGTAAATCAGGAGTAACGCCACTGAAATCAACTGTGTGACATGGGTGTAAGTGAGAGGAGACTGTATAGAAAAAGAGTAGCATGCATGGCCAAAAAGGGGAGTGATGTGGGGGTGCACAACTGGGTGTGTCTGAAAAAGAGGAATTCAGTGCCATCCGCAGAGTGCAAAGAAGGCACTTAGCTAACTGCTCCCCTTTGGCCTTGCTGCTGCTATTAGTCAGGAGCATTCTGGCAGCCACACAGCAGAGCTTTCATTAATGCACGACCAGCTTCCCCTGTGCTCCCTGTCTTGCTCATGTCTTTATACCGTGTACTGCAATCCCTGTCGGCACTGTGCAGGATCAAGGCCACCATTAAGAAAGATCGTGATTTTTAAAAGGGTAAAATTGGTGTCCGTAATAAATAAATGGGATACATTTAAAAAGTCATTTGCCAGCAATTTTTACACAGTTGTATCTGTGTTACCACCCTTCCCCCACTCTCAGAAGACACTACTGTTTTATCTCAGAAAACGCTGTGTGGTAACTTGGCAAAAGCTGACTCTTTTCATTTGGCCACAATAAGATGATGGCTGATCAGAAGTGACCTGATTCTGGGGGAGTTCACCCCATCCCCTCCCCCCTCACACAGCATGCCACTAAACCATCCCTGGCTCATAAAGATACTTCTGAAGAGCAAATATTGTGCTTTTGGATTGCAACAATTGACAGGTTTTTAAAAGAAAGAAACTGGCAGTGAAGTGCACTTAGTGGGCAAAGGTGGGTGGAGGTAACAATGTAGTAGTGGTAGGTTGTATACAATTTTCAAAATGCTAGCAAGATCCACTGGCTCAAAACAACAATGCAGAGCAAAAGGCTTCATAACTCTTTACCAAAGTAAGAGTATATACTCTTATAAAACCACATGAGAGGTCAGTTTCAAATGTAGAAAAGAATGGATTAAACTGAGGGCATTGGTTGTAGATTTTATTCCTGAGTAACTCAAAATTAGACTTTGCTTTTAAACTCAAGACATGGCTAGTGACATATCCATAAAATGATCTAATTAAATCACTTTGGCCATTATGAGAAAAAATATAAACACCCAATATTTTTATTTTTTTTAAGCAGGCAATGCAATCAACAGAAAATACTTTTATAGTTGTACTTTTTGCTAAAACTACTTTACCTTTCCTTTAACAATGCATTAAAAAAACCCCACACCTCTGAATACCAAATTATCATGGACCAATGAATGACTCCTGTGGTTTTTCAGGCTATATTTCCACACAGAGAGAGCAAAACATACCCTCCGTCTAAAATGACTTTGGTTTTAAAGAAAAACTACAATAAAGAAAAGTAAATGCAATAAATAGACTCAGTATGTGTGATCATGTCTCCTTCTAGTGGCTGGCCTCAGCAACTACAGCCATCTGATTACATGGCTAAAACTGAGTTCTGCACAAAGGGAGAGTTCTTAAAAAATGTAAAGACGTAGTACTAAGAAAGCAAAGGCATGATGGTTTCATAGGTACACACACAACAGGGCATAGGCACTTAACCTCGAGATAATTTCACCAGATTACAGGCGACATGCACCCATTTATCAGAGTGGATTTGAAACCTATATGATTGATCTACTACTTTGGAAAGTGCTATAAAGTCTATGGGTAAACATGCCAAAAAACTGCCTATCTGCAGGAGCACAATGCATATTACGGACAAAAGCATTTACTGTATGTAATTAGCTATAACAGATGTGAAGGAGCAACTCAGTTGCCAGGCAAATTAAGGGGTAATTTCCTTTGGAAAACTGCCATTATAAGAAATTAAAATTTAAATGACCACTAAAAACTACACCGAATCAATGTAGAGTGTAGAGGCTTATAGAATGCTAAAGTAATGCAGATAGGCACCCTCATTTTGCCCACAACAGATATTGCAGCGAGTCTCAGAAAATCACCTGATGGTACCACAGGTAATAAAAAACCCAGACACAACTGGGTAAAGTTAGAGACAAAGGCTCACACTGTGATCCTCCTTGCCTCAGTTTTACACTGGTGTCACTTCATTGCCTCAAATGAAATTATTCTTCTGCTGCACAGGTGTAAGGGAGAGCGTCTCGAGCCAAGGGGACAAGTTATTCAGCCACCATGGGGATGGTCACAGTAGCTGTCAAAGCAGCTGCATGGCCCTATATGGGGAAATTTGGCTGGTGGATCTACATAGCTGCAGATCCTTTGGTCACTCCCTGGCCTGCTGTTCCCCTGTGATAGCAAAGATGGAATCCATAGAGCAGAGCTCACGGGGATATATTTTCTCTCCACATCCTGCTCAGTCTCAGCACAGCTGACCTGCTCCAGTCCCTCTCCTTTTTGTGCCAGCTGTGCTGATGGAGGGGGGCCAGGGTTGCCCCAGAATGTTGGCTTCAGGGGAGGCTCGAACTGCAGCAAACTCATGACATGCTAACACTTTCTCAGATATTGCTCCCCTTGTTTTAAAACTCTATCCCTTATTCCTCCAGGCAGTAATGAGAAGTCTCTGTAGCTCAGACCCCTCTGTAAACCCAGCCCAGCCCACTCTCAGCCCTGGGTAGCTTTAACTTTGAACTGGTTTGCTGCTGTTGGTTTCTGTCCTAACCTTACATTTTCAGAGTTGTGTTCACCAAAATAAGAATGATCCTCTCTCCTGTGAGCATGCCTGACCCCCAGGGCCGGCTCTGGCTTTTTTGCCGCCCTAGGCAAAAAAGCCAGCGGGTGCCCCCCCCCCATTGCGGCAGGGGCTCTCCGCTCTCCCCCCCGGCGGCCAGAGCGCCGGGGGGGAGGGCCGAGAGCCCGGCCGGGGCTCTCCACTCTCCCCGGCGGCGAGAGAGCCCCTGGCGGCCAGAGCGCCGGGGGAGGGCGGCGAGCCCGGTCGTGGCGCCGCTCTCGGGCCGGAGCGCCCCGCTGTGCCGCCCCCAGCACATGCTTGGGTGCCTGGTGCCTGGAGCCGGCCCTGCTGACCCCTCTGCATTTGTAAGTCCCCTTTTACACTGTTCCCATCACTAGTTATCCAATTAAAGAACAGATTCCAAATTGGTCTATTATTTGATTGCTTGAAATATACTTTGGCTGCACAAAATAAGCTGCACTTTCAATCAATTCCAAACACCTCACACTGTTGAGGGATAAAACAGGAAGACACTCTGTTGCTTTCTAAATTCTCAGTCCACTGCACTGTAGATCTAAAATTCCAGATAGCTCAATCAGATAGGCTTTGCCCCAAGACCCCAAAACCTTCAGCAACAGAAACACGTTCATCTCACTGCATAGACTCTTGAGGATTTTTTAAATATTCCGAAAACCATTTCTACCATACTGGTTTGCAGTCCATTTCTTCCTGATAAACTACAAAATGCGACATTGTCCTTTATTCTGCAAACATTCCTGGCAAATCAGCATCTTTCCAATGAATTTCTCATACCTGAAAGGACTTTTGAGTGCTGTCTTAACTCACCTTGTTAAACCAATGGACGTCTGGAATGAGAAATCACAAAATAGATTCTTCGGCAAAAGTATATTGTGAAAGTCGGGTCCTGTGTTACACTATAGTCATACTCCGCTTCCAGGGACTCTGCTTTCAGTTATCTGGCTTTAAGTGATCTTGGCTTCTTCTCATTCCATCTCTTTCTCTCTCTGTTGCATACACCTTTTCTCTCTATCGCTACTCAAACTCCTCTGCTGCAGCCAGGCAGCTCCTCTGCTGTTTCTAGTTGTGAGGAGAAGGGATTATAATTATTTCCTATATACTCCCACATTCGGCTTGCTCCCCAACCCAGCAATTGCAGGGTTTTACAGTGCCACCAGGGGGCAGCAGAGGAGCCCATAGAAGACTTGTGAAGGTGAAAGAAAAGATATTTCCTTTGCAAAAATCTTTCAGTAGATTTGGTTTATCCATAAATCAGCAGCTAGTAGCTGATGCCTGGTTTATTTTATGGTACCGTTTTGTCCCTTTGCTCTTTGCAATGGCCTGAAATAGTCCTCTGCGATTTACAAAGCTGCCACATACACAACTTTTAGTGTTAGCTACTGGATGTTGTTTATTCCATATATCCTATACTACCTCCCTAGAGATCTATTTTTTGAATAGTTATTCACCAGTTTCTCTTTTCATTAGCAGGTGCCTGTCAGAAATCTCAGGTCTAATAATAAGTGCTGTGTCACTAGCTAGACAGCAATACCTTTTGTACAATAGGAAACTATGTTTGACAGATAAATCTCTCTGGGAGCAACTACCGCATTAATGAAGATCTACACATATTTGGGGCCTTTTATAAAAGGCTTTGCAAAAAAGGCTACCAGCTGTTAAAATCATCATTAGGGAACTGACAAAATACCTGCCAAAACTTTGGAGAAACAATAGTGAACTCAGCTCTCATGTTTGCACAGCATTCATATGTAATATAATTCTAATGTTGAAGCAAAGCTAACAGCTATGCATTAGGAGGATGACGTCCATGGTTGGGTTTACTGGGGAAAAGAAAATTGCACTGCTTAAAGATTTTTTTTACATGCAATTTATCTAGTATGCACAAAAAATAATGTATAATGTCGTTTTTCATTATGAAGGAACCCAATGGTCTTTAAATGTGGGTAAATAGTATAGAGAGTATATTCTGTGCATAGTACAGAGGCCCTGATTCTGCAGTCTTTACTCATGTTGATTAATACCTTGCTCTACCAGTATTCATGTTGATTTCAAGGGGAGCACTCAAGTGGGTAAGAT